TGATCTCTGCTAGAAGCTCCTTGTTTAACCATGCAGGTCTCCTGCCTCCTTTGCTCGATTTCTTTCTCAGATAGAAACAGACTATGGAAAATTCAAAGACATAAAGTACAAATCTTGAGGGATAAAAGGTGATGATGAAAACTAACAAAAAATATTCCTAACTATATTGGAAGCTAATTATCAAAATGTTTCAACAACAAAAAGGGAATTTTTTAATATAATCAAAGAGTTCTAAAGGGAAGGATTCATACGAGAATAAGTAGTAAAAAATTAAAAGATACTACCACGAACAAATTTAACATTCAGGAAGCTGAGATTTAAGATGCCGCCTAGATAACACATTTTTCAACACACTGTCTTGTCCAGGAACCACCTAATAAATACTGCCTTCTACTTATTTTATTATTTAGTTGAAACTTAATCTACAAGGCTCAAACTAGAAATTAGTGGCTAGAAACAGATGCTTAAAACTTATGGTATGATGTATGACATAATTAAAAATCAACTGAATTAACTATCACTTCTAAATTCTACTTTATTTTTTACTAACTAGTTAATGAATAGAAATTTTTATGTAGCCAGATTTTGAAAAGGAACTGAGACTGATTTTAAGTATTGTTCCCTTTTGATATAACTGAAAATTACTCCTACTACAATATATTTAAATATAATGAGATTACGATGGATATCTTACACAGCAGGTGTCCGAATACAGAAATTGAAGAGGGCCTTTCCACTGTCATGTAAGACACTTAATTAAAGCAATATCCAACGCTGGTGTTGTATTATCATTGTTTGGTTTCAGTTTAGAGTTGTCACATTTCATGTGCAAAAATCTGCTGCGTTATTCCACATCTATTTTTTAAAATTCTCTGATAATTGTGAAACGGATCGTACAACTTGCATCACCACCTCCTATTCTCTATTCTTTCTGCCAGACAAGACATTCCTGAGACTACAGCAGACCACATTCTTAGTTTCAACTTTTCCTTGCCAGGGGAAGACGGTCAGGTGGTCCCAAAACTACGTGAAACAACATTGTAGTTTGTAAAATATGAACTAAGTGTATCAACACTTCTTTACTCTGCATCTGTCCAGGAAGCAGTGGGAACATGTCATCTACATGCTCATAAAGCAAAAGATTTGCACATACACAAAGGGCAAATTTAACTTTCTTCTAAATAACAGGAAGGAAAGGGAAACCAACCTCTGTAATACCCTCTGCAGTACTGCAGCTCTTCTTGTCTTTTCTGAGGTGCCGTGGCAACAGAAAAGAGTAGTTAAACAGGCATATTATACTATAATGAATTCTTACCTTTAACAAACAATAAATTACTTGCACTTACGCCAAATCAGTTGAGTGAAGACAAAAAGAAAGACTGAAGTGTAACATCAAATTAATATTCCATAAAAAGACTGAAATGCTAAGTATTAAACCTTTGTGCAACAAAGGTTTTAGATGGGGGCAGGTGGGGAGAAACACATTAAAACAGTACACAGACTGTTACTCCATATGCGTTTGCAGGACTATAATAAATGTTCTTAATCTATGAAACATCTGGGGCTAAAAATCCAATTTGTACTTTTTTTTTTTTTTAAAGATGGAATAGTTTTAAAGTGTATAGCATAGCTTCTACAATATAAATCTACACAAAACGAACCGCACAAGTCTATCCTTTAGGCTTTTTCTAGGAGTATAAAATATGCAGAATCCTACCAGGCCATATTGCCATGGGCTGTGTTGTCAAGGTGACAGAGTAGCTCCAGGGTTTGAGTGTTGCTTGATGAATCATCAGGGGATTCATGACTGCCTGATTCCAATTCCTTCGGCATCCTCCAAACAGCAGCACATGTCATGACTTTACTGTCTGAAGCTAAGCAACAGAGAATAATGTCAACAGATCATTGTATGGGAGACATATTTTGTATACAGTGCATCAACATTTACACAAATCTATAAGCCATGCACATCTGCTGTTTAAAATATTTTAAATATTATACCAAGATGAATTCAAGGAATGCAAAATGTGGATACAGACACAGACCTTAAGTTTGCAGTCAAGTTGCTGCAAAACTCATAATTAGCATGCATTTAATGCGTGTCTCCCTGATTAAAGGCAAGATTCAGAGCTCATGAAAACCTAACTCTTTGGGATGCGAGTTGTCCAAGCTTCAGTCGCCATAGTGATCTGAAGGAAAACGACCCACTAGTTACATTGCTCAATTCCTTAACAATAAGGCTTTAGACACTGTTTTAACATTTTCCTTTTGAGGTCTATCTTCAGTTGAATCTACAGCACTGTGTTTTATCGTTTACTACCAGTAACTGTTTACTGCAAAATTAAGTTTTTCACTCATCTAATCCTAGCAAAGAAAAGCAGTTTCCAAAAGACTGAACCAAACTCACATGCATATAGCAAAATCTTTCACTGTACAATCAACAAGCCAACCGCAGACTGAGGAGAAAATAACATACGGCCTATGCACATATAGCATTGTCCATCACCCAATACAGCAATTTGTAGCAGTGCAGAACGGGAGGAGACCAGAGCAGCACTGCGTATGTTCATGGTCTTCCAGCCGCTGGTCCAAGGTTCACAGAGGGCAAATCAGCATGAATAGGTCAGTGGGATCCACTACAGCAGGAGCAAAGAAAACCAGCCACAGCAACGTCAGGCAAAGGCAAGGGGAGTGACTACCTGCCGGCGGATGTGTTAAGTGAGAGGGCCAGAGGATAAGCAGCAATGGACAACATGTTTTCTGTCCCGAGGTTATTTCACATGCCTCTTTCTCACAGTTCTGTCTCCAAGTACATTTCGGTTGATTTCAGTGCAGAGTGCCTGACCAGAGCCATGAGCAGACGTGGCCAGAGCCATGAGCAGACATGTAATATTTTACAGAATAACTGGCATTGTCATTTAAAGAAAGAAAACCAAGCAAAACACCTAGTGTCTATTTAAGTCATGTTTCCACACCTTCCTTAAAGCTATTTATATATTTGGAAACTACTTTTCCATCCTTACCTCAAATTGAAACCATAATTTTTATTTATGTCACAGCACCAACAAAAAAGGATAAGGTTAAGCTAGTTTCTGATGTATTTTTATGACTGAGTATATTAAGAAAAGCATTAGTGGGTTTAACTAAGCACTACCGAACCGGTGTCGTGAACCTGAAAGTTACACTTCCATAGAGTACAAGCGAAAGTTTTGCAGAAGAGAGTCCCACTGAATTACTAGAATACAGTTCACATAAAATGATCCAGGAATGAGACAACAAACTGTTTAATCTTTGTCACATTTGTTTCTCCTCATTCAAGACAAATCCCTTGTCTAATGCATCATGCATCTTCAGTATACCTTTTGCTCAGGCTGGAGTTAAAAGTACTGTTCCAACTGCAACACCCTCCCCGTTACGCACTGCTTCCCCAAGCTCATCAGTACTGTCTCCTGGGCAGAGGATAGCATACGCACAGATCTGCCAGAGTGCCTATACATACAAAGTTTCTTCTGCCTGTTTCTGTTGAAATGATCCGAAGTTGAAACAAGCAAATAAGAATTTAAAGGAATGAGCAAATAATCCCACATTTTGACAGCACTGAGTTAGGAATTACCTACACATGATGCTGGCAGCTCTGAGGGCACAGTAACCAATCGCAAGAAACAGACTTTGGTGAGTTCAGGCAAAGCCTGAGAGAGATAACCGTGGCTACAGAGCACAAGGCCATCTTTCAATGCCTACTTTACAAGTCGAGCAAGTGAGAAAACTCTCTGCATGGAGAGTGTGCAATTTGCAAAGGGTCACAACTTGGTCAAATCGATACCAATTTTCACTGCAGCACTCAAAAGGACTTCCCAATGAGAGCTATTTCCATGACAATTTTCATCTTTCCACTACCAACTGTTCCAACACAGGAAAGAAAAAAAAAGTAGAAGTTGCAAACAGGTGAAGCATCCCATTTATCTTCCTCCAAACACTGTTCCCCTTGGAGAGTTGTTCCAACTTAAAGTAATAGCCTTTGAAAAAGAAATAATTCTAAAAAAAAAAAAAAAACCTGCCTGAAAGGTAAACATAACAGGAAGTTATTAATGAGAGTTTGAAAAGAAACAAGTATGTAACATTAACTACAAGTACCCATTACTACTGTCTAGAGTTATGTCACACACAACAGATCAATTCACTGTACTGTTGCTGGAACACAGTAGCCAGCATACCTTCCTTAACAACCGTACAATCATTTCAGGACTAGATGCCATAAGAAAAAGGTGGATATAACAACACAGACTGCTGATTCCAGATGCAATACATTTGCTCATGACACTGAAAGCCATTCCTGCCCTTGTGGAAGATTAAAAATCTGCAAATTCATAAAAAATTGTAAACTAGAAGGGATTATCTATGCACCTCACACCACCCTTGATTTTGCTTCAGCAATTCCTACAGTTAAAGACTTACAAAATGAAAGAAGTGAGCTCTGTCACATCTCCAGATTTAGAGAGAAGAACCTAAAATTTTCTGTCATTCAGAATTACTAGAATTATTATAAACATTCTTTCATGAACATTCAGAAAATGCCACAGACTGCAAAACAATGAAGCCAACTGAACATCAAGCGTCATAAAAATCTGTTTATACAGACTTCTTGAAAGATACAGTTTATTCTCTTCAATAAATAACCGCTTTCAAAAGGACGTAACATGCACCCCCAGTAAACATACTAAGAAACCAATTGATATCTGGATGACTGATGCAGTAAATCAGAACAGATTCACAAGAAAGACGCCGTGTAGGTTGTCACTATCAAGAATAAGTGTTCTCACTCAGACCTCCATTTGGTTGTATATTTTTGAGAACAAAAAGCCATACTTATTATATAGGAGGCTGTAAGTGATTTTCCAATTGAAAACAACCCAGTAATTTCATTGTTTTCCCACACTAAATCCCTTTAGTAGAATTCTCCCTATCCCATATACATTTTTTGTAAGGAAGATAAAGAAAATATTCTACTTAGAAGCTTGATGGTTTAAGTTTTAACAACAAAAAAAAGCAAAAAAGTCTACCTGAAACTACTTTAGAGACACTTCCATCAGTCAAATATTACTAAAACAAATACGAAATGGAAAAATATAAAGAACATAAAAACCAAAATCTCATCACAAGCGTAGATGCTAATCAATACTCCACAGTTTCAACAAATAAGAGGTTTGAGTACATGCAGAAACCCAGGAGCTCCGTCTGCCTTCCTCTTTCAGGTGTGAATTGAGGCATACTTAGAACTTGATCAAAGTCAGTAAGTACTATTGCTTATCCATGTGCTGCCTGCCACCAGTTCACCCACTGGAGTAATTTCTCCAAAAGTGAAGCTAGTATCTTTCACAGGCAGTAAACAGAGACATTCGAAAAAATACAGAAGCTTATTTTAAGAGATGTGATTAAAAGCAGTATCAATCTTTATTATATGATAAAAAAAGTTTAAAAGAGGGTTGTAAGAAGTTATCTTCCCTTTTAAGCAAAGTGTTAAGTAGGTGTTGCCATAATACAAAGGGGAAAGCGTAAGAATAGAGTTCAATGGACGTACAAGAAACACCATCACCTGCCCTTCCCATCCACCCATCCAACAGACTCAAGCAGATTTTGATCGCAATTACACAGGTCCACATCAGCCAACATTGCAGTTCACTGCTGTTCAGCCATCTACCTTTCACGCATCTGGTGCCACTTGCTGAATAAAACTTGCCATGCTACTGAAGTCTGCTCTGACATAAGTAACAACCGCAGTCTTGACCTGTCAGAAGCTTACAGTAGTCACCCAAAGCAGACCAGATCCAGCTCAGCTCAGCCTCCCTAATTATATCATTTTACAAAGCATTTTAATCTTTGTGTTCAATCATTCTTTATGGTCTTTCTTAACTAAACATATATGATAAATCACCCTTGACTGTTTTTCCTTCTCCCAAAATTTGAGCCAATTATTGCTAGTCTCCTGTTCTTGAATAATTCCAAAACACATTTTGTGTGTACGTTAATAATTCAGTGTTATAAAATTAATTTCCTATAATCAATAGCTATATACATCAGATGGCTTTATCTACGGGAACCATGTTTCCATTTCACTTTCTGCTGTCATTGTATTTCATTCCCCTGTGTTTAACCTTGAAACCTGAATGACAATGCTTCCTACACCACTGCCTGCAGACATTCACACTGAAGCTGGAGGAGCTGAAGTATTAGAGCCTGAAAGGGTTTGCTCTTTGATCAGCTCAGGTGGTGCAAAGCCAGCTGGCTGCAGTCATTCTGTTGCCCAGGGAACAACAACTGAAGTGTATACTTCCTAAATCTGCACAGGAGGCCCTTCTGCAGCATTGCCACAGCAGCTCTTGCTGTGCAAGGCTGAAGTGGTGAAGCTGCTATAGCTACAGCCCAGCTGGTGCCCATTAATGCTCTCGGTAGGACAGGAACAAGCAGCTAGTGTTCAGAAGCCCCCTCCTTACCATTGACAGAGTTATCACTCTTCCTTATTAATGAATGTAAACATCCTTCTCCTAGTTTAATAAAATGAAGAAATAAAAACCAAATTATTCAAGAACGCACCTTCTTTTAAAATAACAACCTTGTAGACCTTTTAGTCAATTCATTACAAGTTATCCATCTTCTATTCATTTGACAACATGTCCTTCACAGGCAAAAGAAGAGGGACAAAAACAACACACCGTGCTTTTTCTGCATTAAGAAACTAATCTTCCATGTTAAAAGCCTGTGTACTCTTTCTTACTAATAATAGTAATGTATTTTACTTTTTTCTGAAATACATGGGATGAGATATATGCAGGAATAGAGTTATAGGCAATTTAATTTCTTTCCATCACTTATATGC